CCCCTGGCAGGGGCATGACTGTGGGGCCCAGGTTTCTGGCTGAGTTTTGGGGCACCAGGGGAAAGGAGCTGCTGCCTGCTCTGGCCGGGAGAGGCCAGACTCAGTTCCTGTGTGGCTGCCAGCTGCAGTTCCTAGACGATGTGAACCCAGAGCTGCAGCTGTTTGGAAGGCTGCCACTGCTGCCCTTGGGAATGGTGTAGGAGGTGCTCGCTATGCAGCACTTCCAGCAGCTCCAGTCCCGGCCTCTGGATGGGGACTGCAGGGGGCGCACTGCAGGGAGCAGGGCAGGAGGGCTGGCCAGGAAGGGAGCTCCCAGCTACTCCAGTCCCGGCCTCTCCCAGCAGGGAGCGCTGTAGGAAGCGGGGCAGGAGAACTGGCTGTGGAGGGAGCTCCCAGCTGCTCCAGTCCCAACTTCTTCCAGCAGGGGGTGTTGTGGGCAGTGGGGTAGGAATGCATCCAGGGGGCGAATGCAGGGAGCAAAGCCATCAAGGGGTTAAACTCGACCAGGTACATTAACAAGATTTGACCCAAATAGGAAGACCATGTACTGTAGTTATCTAGGGTTGTGCTCTCTCTCTCTCTGGGTCATAACTGGGTCCCCTGGGGTCTATCCCTGGGAGAGGGTGGGCGGCAGTGCTTGTGTGGGCTGTCATCCCTAGGTGGACACCCCGGGGGAGCTGGGTCTCTCTGGGAGCTCCGGGCAGGCCTGCAGCTGGGCGTTGTCTGCTGCCCCTGGCCTCCTGCCGTCTGCACTCAGAGCTATTCCATTAGGGTGTTGCACAAAATCCTAATCCGGCAGTTCACAAACTGTGGGTCACGACCCCAAGGTAGGTCACAACCCCGTTTTAATGGGGTCGCCAGGGCTGGCTTAGACTTGCTGCGGCCCAGGGCCGAAGCCCGAGGGATTCAGCCCCGGGGCAGCAGGGCTCAGGTTACAGGACCCCTGCCTGGGGCTGAAGCTCTTGGACTTCAGCTTTGCACCCCCCACAACCCAGGGCGGTGGGGCTCGGGCTTTGGCCTTGCCCCTCCCCCCCTGCTCAGGCTTCGGTCCCCCATCCTGGGGCCGTGTAGTAATTTTTGTTGTCAGAAGGGGGTCAATGAAGTTTGAGACCCCCCTGCTTAATCTCCAAGCATTTCCATATGAGAGCATAATGAGACATCCTCTGGCATTGCCTGCTGCCCCGCTATCGCCATCAGCTCAGCCATCATCACCCATCCCTGCCCTGGGGACGCTGCTTCCAGCCCAGGGCCGCACAGAGTTTCACAAACACTGCTATAGCCTCACTGGAAAGTGGGGGAAATTGGTCCTGCCTCCCAATGCTGAAAAAATGCAGCCACCTCTGGGGCGGGGCATTGCAGCTGCTTAACAGCCTCACAACAACTCTGCACCGGGCTCACTCACGCAGCACTGATATGCAGCCACCTCTGGGGCGGGGCATGGCAGCTGCCTAACAGCACAGGACAATATAACAGTTTAGGACAAGAAGTGAAGAAGAGTCTTGTGTCCAGTGTAAATGTCTGAGTGAATTTACTCTGGCAGAATGTAATTACCCAGTGGCCCTGGCTGGAGTGCAGCCTAAAACCTCAGTGCTTGTGAAAATGAAGGTGGGAAGGCAGGATCGTGGAGTTATGCGTCTGCCCCAGCAGACAGCAGGTCCAGCACCACTATGGGGTCAGCACTGACTCAGGGGAGCGTGCCCCCTATTGAGTCCCCTTCCCCATGCCCTGCAGCACAGCGCCCCCTAGTGTCGCACTGGGGCATTGGGATCAGCACTCACTGAAGGAGTGAATCTCCTATGAGCCCCCTGCTCTGGTCCCTGCAGCACAGCACCCCCCTTGGAAACGCATCTGTCCCCCAGGTTAGAAATTTCCTGCCAGCGCCAGATGCCATGTGCCAGCTCCTGGGAGCGGGATTTCTCCTTGGCTTCCCTCCCAGCAGCTCGAAGGACCCAAACCCCTCAGTCCCCCTTGTCTCTGTGGCTGTTCTCAGGCCCCCAAGCTGCCACCGCGGTGTCTCCTGGGCAGGGGCGAGATGCCGCGCTGCCGTGCGCTGGGCTGGCACCACAGGAGGGGCATCGTGTTGGGAATGGGCACGGGGCTGTGAGCGGCCCCACGGGCCCTCGTACCTGCCTGAACCCCGCTTCCCTGTCACGCCCAGCCTCTCTCCCTCTATCTCCCCCCACTGTCCTCCTGGCCTGGCCCCTTCAACTCAGGCCTCATCAGGGCTTGGGAGCCTGTCGTCCTACAGCCCTGGGAAAGGCCCTTCGCCTGGGCCGTCTGGCTGGCACTCCCCCGTCACAGAGACACGGACATTAAGGACCGGTCTTATCTAGTCTGGCCTATATAAACCAGGCCGGGGACCCTGCCCCCCGGGATTCCTGCAGCTTGTGTCTGAGTCTGAGCAGGACATTCATACCCAGGCTCCAGGGAAAGCTCCCCCAGGTCGGGGGATCCCTCAGGAAGCTGCTTCCACCTGGGCAAGGTCAGAGATCAGCCCATCTCTCTGTGGGAGGGTCCCTGAATAGGGGATCGGAGAGAAGCAGCCTCGCTACTGGCTGG